CGATCCGATCCGGCAAATGGCTCTGCGCAGGGCTTGGGCGGGGCGGGATCAACAGGGCGGGTGGAGGGAGCAGTTATGGCTGCTCTCAGTCCCGTTCCCAGAGGCTCTGCTTCTCAGAACCCCGGCCGCCGCTGCAAACCTCGGAGAGAAAGCTGCCCTCAGATTCCAACTGATGCCGGACAATCCCGCTTCTCCCGTCTGCGTCTGAGTGCCTAGAGACTCGCCCGGATCTGGAGCCCAGAGTCTGAGACTCCCTCCCGACTGAAAACGACAACCGCGCCCTCAGCCACCAGCCCGTTTTGCGCGCGCACCTCGGTACCTTTGTATTTTCCACACTGCGCCTCCTCTGAGCCTCGGTTTGCTGTTCTCTTTCCTTCTAGTTGAAGAGTCTCTCCTCAGCCAGCATTCCTGTGGTTCTGGGTGATGTCTGTTCCGTCTTTTAGTTGTATTTTTGAAGTGGTTGTTTGCGGCAGCAGTCTCCGGTGTTTACCTATGCCGCCATCTTGGTTCCTCCTCTCTTTTGGGTTTTTAGTTAGGGTAAGATCTTAAGTAGTGAGCTTTTCCCCTCATCCAGGATTCTGGGAATTAAACATTACAGAAAATGTGTGTTTCTCAGTTTTCCTAGGAATGGTGCAAAACTTGATAATTGGGAGATAAATTCATTTGTTAAACACAAAGGATGCTTTAGGGCTTCTTTCGTGGAACCCAGTTGAGAAGGGTTTCTCTTTCTAGAACATATCTGTGTAAGGAATGGCCTATTTTGAGTGGTAATGCCAGAAGCCGTCACTGGAATGTGGGTGTCCTTAACCAGTTTCTTGCAGTGTCAGCACAGAAGCTCCAAGCTGCCTGCTCTTCTGGCCTAGGAAGTGGACCTGGATTTTCTTTTAAGCCGTGCGAGCAATGAAGGACAGGCTACATTTATTTTAGTTAGGCTTTAAAAACATTACCTATGAGTAGGCATTTAGATTTTATGAGATTCTAAGCTTCACTGGCACATTTATTATGTTTAATTATGCTTTATTGCTTCAGCCTAAAGATCTTGTGATGCATGATGTTCTCTTTTAAATTGTATCCTTGGTTAATTTTTTTATGGCACAGGATCTGTGGGGAAATGTTCCATGTGGTCTCATGCAGTTCCAGGTCTCTAGTGCCAGCACACTGCCCTGCGTCTGCACAGATCCTTGTGTTTGCAGGCTTAGTGCACATTTCCTGATCAGTTATCGTGTAAAAAACCAGATTACCGGGTGTTGTTTTTACTTTGCCAAATAAACTGTGTATTCTATAAATACTTATTTATTATGTATTAGTCTAATCATTATACAATTATTTGTATGTAAATTTGTTTTTCTTAAGCACATTTTAGAAAGGGACAATGCAGTGTAAAACTTGTTACATTGAGCTATATTCTACTTTAGAATCTGGACATAGTACAGAAAACACTTAAAGGGAAATTAACATTTCAGTTGAAGATACAAATGTAATTTCCATCCTGTCATATTTTGGTGACCTTTTGTGACAGCTTGTCTCAATTGGAGGAAAGCATTTTTACTTGCTGATTAAAGATGTCATTTGAAACCATTTTATTACTGGGGATAGTGAAATTAATCTTGACACTTAGAACCACTAGAAAAATAATTGCTGATTCACCGCATAAAATGTGTATGTGAACCAATCATGTCATCAAGATTAGAGTAAAAGTCTGTGCTTGTTAAGAAGAGATTAAATATTCCTTCGAATGGGGCCTCGATTCATTTGAAGGGGAGGGGTTACCATAGAAACCATTTCAAGGGGATGAAGTGTGGTTTAGAGATTTTGGAAGAGTTTAGAGATGACTATGGATTCCAAGGTAGGAGATAAACTGGTAATATTTACAATGTACCCTTCATTGTGGAAGAAGGCATAAGAATGCTTCTCAGGACGCGGTTTATTAATGTAAGATATAATGCCACAACTCAGATAATATTTTGAAATAAAGGAACCATATTTGAGTCTGTCAGTTTTTTTCTTTTAAGACTTTAGAATAATGTGCCACCTGAAGTTTCTTAGAGACAGAGTCTATGTGTTTCGTATCCCTTAAGCCCTGATTTTCAACCATGAGTGAGCAGCAAGATTTTTAAAAACATGCAATACTGACTAGTCAGGGCACTGACCTCTTTTTCCTTAGACTGTCAAATAAAAAACAACAACAGCCACCACAACAATGGTTGTCTGTGTGAATGAATCAAAATTATACCTATTTTTTTTGTCATATTGGCAAAAAATATATTTTTTGGTGAGCCACAGAATTTCAGTAATTAGATTCTATGTGCCATGAGATGTAAAAGGTTGAAAATCACTGCCCTGAAGTGTTGGTCAGACAGGTGAGCACCTACTAATACTGGTGTCCAACAAATGTTTGCATGAATAGGTTTTCTCTTATGAGACTTTGCTCTCATTTGGCATGGTTCCTCATTAGAAGGCATGCATATAAATCTTTCTTCACTCAGCAAAGATTTTTTTCTTTCTTTATAAAACTAAAAATTTGTAATGTTAATAGTAAATGTTTTCCATTTTGTATGACATTAACATTAATTATTTTTTTATTTTTGGTTAATCTTCACATGAGGATATTTTTTCCATTGCTTTTTCACAGAGAGAGGGAGGGAGGGAAGGAGGGAAAAAGAGAGAGAGAGAAACATCGATGTGAAAGAGACACATGCACATGGACTGGTTGGTTGTCGCCCATGGACTGGAGGGTGGGGAGTGAAACTGCAACCCAGGTAGGTGCTCTTGACCCCATGACCGGGAATCTAACCTGGTCAAGGGTTGGCACTCTAACCACTAGCACAGTGATGGTGAACCTTTTGAGCTCAGCGTGTCAGCATTTTGAAAAACCCTAACTTAACTCTGGTGCCATGTCACATACAGAAATTTTTTGATATTTGCAACCATAGTAAAACAAAGACTTATATTTTTGATATTTATTTTATATATTTAAATGCCATTTAACAGAAAAATCAACCAAAAAAATGAGTCGCGTGTCACCTCTGACACGTGTGTCATAGGTTTGCCATCACTGCACTAGCAACATGGGCCGGGGCTTAATGGCAATTATTTGACATTGGAGTGATTTCACTAATAGTTTTAAGATCAGAAGAGTCAGGAATCTGTTCTGTTGTATGTATTTTTCTGAGTCTCTGTGTCTGTGTCTTAGTAATGCTTGTGCTGGTTTCACTAGGACAGCTGTGCTGGGTGTGACCGGGAGCGGGTTCTGAGCTGTGCTGTCGGCCGACATGATGGCACCTGCCTGGCAGCTGAAGGGCAATGGCTAACTTTGACTTGAGCCCCTTTTTTCAGCTCCCTCAGCACATTAGTGGTCCCAAATGAAAATACCTTCCAGTCTTTGTACATAGGAGGCACTTGTATTCCAAGGCAGAGCATGCCCCCATCGAATAGCGGGTGGGGGTCGCCACTGTGTCGTGCTTGCTCCTGTCGATGCAGTTGCCTGTTGTGGGGAAGCACTTGCTGTTGCGGAGTGTTATTGTCACGTATTTCTTATGTGTGTTCTCCCTGTGAGTCTTGTTCCCGCTCTGAATGTTTCTAACGTGTGCACATCTTTTCACACAGAGCTTTCAGCAGAAGCCAAAGCTGCGTTGCTTGAGTTTGAAGAAAGAGAACGCCAGCATAAGCAGGGCCGCTATGGTTCAAGGCGGGGCGGAAGGAGAGGAGGTCCTTTAATGTGTCGTGGAATGGGGGACCAGAGAAGAGAGAACAGTGAGAGGGGCCGCATGAAGGACCACAGACCTGCGCTGCTCCCCACACAGCCTCCTGTGGTGGTAATGTTACAATTTTCTTGAGTCTAAAACTAGAACAAATGAAAATATGCTTTTGTGGGTATTGCATTTTGTGTTGATCACTTAGTCTGGAAGTAAAGTTTAGTAGTAGGAATGCAGCTGAAGTTCGTGAAGTGTATTTATAGTCTCTAATGATTTCATATGTGGTCTTATAAATTCCGTCCTCTATTATTCGGCAGTAAAAACAATTCTGTTACAACCGCTTGTGAAGAAAGTTCTGGTAAGAGACCTGCTTCCATAAGGGACAGCCACAGAGCAAGCAGCCTTGCATTAGGGCGGGGCAGCCTGGGTCTGTCCTCAGTGTGGTGCGTGGCTCACTGGGGCAGTTCTGCTGGTTGAACTGCCACGTCTGCCCACCTGCCCTGAGGTTGAGCGCATGGTGAGATGGCAGAGCCAGTGGGGCAGGGGGAGCAGCCTCCTTGCCTGCTGTCTCGTACAGCTTGTTACTATGAACTTACTTCTAACTCCTAACTTTTACAATTCAGTCAGCATAAGTCTGTAACATGTCACCAGTCGTTTTCTTTGCTTTTAAATGTTGATTCCTGTGAATTTGTCTTTTTTGTGATTATAGACGCACTCTCCAAGATTAATTCCTCCAACCCAGCCTCAGCCTCCCCCCCCACCGCCACCCCAGCAGCAGCCCATTCGGAGCCTGTTCCAGCAGCAGCCCCTGCAGCCCCTGCTGCCCCTGCAGCATCCGCACCACCCCTCCCCTCCACAAGGAATGCATGTGCCACCCCAGATGGAGGCGCCCAGGGTGATGATGACCCCTCCACCTGTGACCCCACAGCAGCCCAAGAACATCCACATAAACCCCCACTTCAAAGGAGCGGTGGTGACGCCCGTGCAAGGTATGTGTCTCCTTTATTGTTGCTGTGGCCAAAGAGATGTCATGCTCCAGTCTGCAAGGACAACTTGGCTTCCTGATGTCTTCCCCACCCACTTAGACTCCTGCTACTCACGGGCCAGGTGCTTGCTAACAAATGTGTATCTTAGATTCTGATTGGGTGGCAGGCACTGAATTTGGAGGGCAGGAGAGGCATTGTGGAGAGTCAGCAGGGTGCTTCCTCGAGTCCCACTCAGGTGCTCTCTGTGAGTCCCCATGTTAGCTGTGTGTGTGTGTGTGTGTGCGCGCGCGCGCGCGCAGATTCACCTTTAGTCATGAGTTTTAAGTGATAACCTCTCACGTTACCATTTCCTGGCCCAAGGAAACTGTTTTCATGCCTTTGGGAAGGAGCACATCTTTTTTTGTTTATTTATTAATCCTCACCCAAGGAGAAATTTTATTTATATTTATATATATATATATTTTTTTTTACTATATTTTTAATTGACTTCAGAGAGGAAGGGAGAGGGAGAGGGAGAGGGAGAGAGAGAGATAGAAACATCAATGATGAGAGAGAATCATTGATCAGCTGCCTCCTTCATGCCCCCCACTGGGGATTGAGCCCGCAACCTGGACATGTGCCCTGACCAGGAATCGAACCGTCATCTCCTGGTTCATAGATTGACCACTGAGCCGTGTTTGCCAGGTGAGGGTATTTTTTTTTTTTAATATATTTTATTGATTTTTTACAGAGATGAAGGGAGAGGGAATAGAGAGAAACATCGATGAGAGAGAAACATTGATCAGCTGCCTCCTGCACACCCCCCCACCGGGGATGTGCCTGCAACCAAGCTGCATGCCCTTGACCGGAATCGAACCTGGGACTCCTCAGTCCGCAGGCCGACGCTCTATCCACTGAGCCAAATCGGTCAGGGCCAGGTGAGGGTATTTTTAACATTGATTTTTAGAGAGAAGAAAGGAGGGGGAGAGAGAGAGAGAAAAGACATTGATGTGTGAGAGACACATTGACTGGTTGCCTCCCACAGGTGCCCTGACCAGTGCCAGGGATTGAGCCTGCAACCGAGGTACATGCCCTTGACCAGAATCGAACCTGAAACCCTTCAGTTGGGCTGATGCTCTATCCACTGAGCCAAACCGACTAGAGCAGGAGCACATCTTTATGCCTCTGTCCAGCACACGTGGGCTGCGATGCTTCTATCTCAGGCACTGAGTTATGTTGGTGCACAAAGCAGACAAGCTTTTTGCAGTCATGGTCCTGCGTTCTAACAGTCAGCCATAAACACATTGATTTCTGTGGCAGGTTAGGGGATGCCAGTGCATTGACAGATGGAGCAGCTAGGGCTGGGCTGGCTTCATTAGGAAGGTAAGAGTTGAAGGAGGCTGCTGGTGTGGAATCAGGTAGCTAGTGTGGAACACTTGGGTGGAAACAGCACTCAGGCCAAGAAGGACCCCTCTCTGCCTCCAGAGGCAGTGGGGAGGGCTGTGAGGGAAACAGCAGCATCCTTTGCGACAGCTAGGTTTCCATTAGAGCAGGAAGGGGACAGGCTGAGGCCAGCATGGGTTCTGGTGGCTGAGAACTTGGAATTCCAAGAGTGTGGTTGAGAAGTTTCAGAACTTGGGGAGAAGCCTGAGATAGGACTTGGAGTGTGGAGAGGGCCAGTGGGCTGGAGGCGCTGTGAAGTTGTGCTGTGGCCTTGGAGCAGAGGGCTCTAGGGGGGCAGAGGAGGGTCAGTGTCCTTGTGTTGTTACAGGAGATAGCTCTTGTTTGACACACCTGGAGGTCGGGTGTTAGTGCTGTCGGTCCCTGACCCCCTGACTGACCCCTTCGCTTGTCCCCACCATATATTAGAATCATTCAGTGACCTCACTGTCTTGCAGGGCAGGACATGTTATAGTCTGTGTGATTAGCACATTACCTGTGTCTGCTCTAGCAGCTGTGGGAGGAAGGGACCAACACATGCTCATGGGGGCAAGGAGGGTGCAGGAAAGTAGCCCTTTCCATGGTGGCTACCCAGGACGTGCCCCTGCAGGAAATGAAGCTGTGGGAAAGATTTTACTGATGTCAGCATTGGGTATTGTGTATTTCCTTGCACAGTGAGGGAGGACTGGCAGTTGGTGAGGTGCACAGATTGGTGTGGCCTGATAGAAATAAGTGGTGGTAGGACATGCAGAGTGGGAGAGCGCTGAGGAAACTCAGGATGTCTTCCAGGTGTGAAGGGTGTGTGTCTTGCTGAGTCAGCAGCCTGATGGGCATAGACAGAGACCTGGCACCCAGAGCTCATGCAGACTCAGTGAGTGCACATCACTTTGCCGGCAAGTTTTACACTCAGAACAAGCTAAATGGTTTTCACCATGAAGCCGGGGCTTTGTGCCACACATTCCTTCTCCTTGACACACCTTTGATCTTGAGATTTGCTGGTGTAGGGAGACAGTGAGTGAATGAGCTTAAGTAGAAAGCAGTTCCTCTTGAGAGAGGCTTGGTATCTAGCTGCCTGCTGCACAGGTAAGAGAGAGGAACCCAGTGGTTCTTGGAGCTGTAGGCAGGTAGAAGGTACATGTAAAAGGTAACAGCGTGTGCACATCTTTTCTTGATGACACACATTTCCTTTTTGAGGATGAAGTGTTCCATAAAATTATAATTAACCAGTTCTGATGGAAATTCAGCGTGTTCTTCAGGTGTTCACTATTACAACCGTTGCAGTGAATCGAAAGCTAATCTAATCCATTAGGTACACGGGACAACAGAAGATGTAAGTCTTAAATATCAAATACTTGGAGTTTAAGGTTCAACTGGAATGGTCTGTTAACAGTTCAGGTTTTAAGTTCTCTCATAGGTAGACTTGTCTTCCTGCCTGCAGACCAGGTGCCCTGCAGGGCCCCTAGGAGGACAGGTCGCAGATGCCCTGGCGGTCTGACTGAGGCCTTCTTTCTGGCCTGGCTGGATTCGATCTGTGCGTCACACCTGTTCTCAGATGTTCTTGTCAGTGTTTATTCTTTTTCTCCTCTTTCCTGTTGTGTTTTACAATTTATTTTTTAACTTTTTAAAAAATATACTTTCATTGATTTCAGAGAGGGAGGGAGAGGGAGAGAGAGATAGAAACATCAGTGGTGAGAGAGAATCATTGATTGGCCTCCTTCTGCACGCTCCACACTAGAGATCGAGCTTGAAACCCGGGCATGTGCCCTGACTGGGAATCGAACCCTGATCTCCTGGTTCATAAGTTGACGCTCAACCACTGAACCACACCAGCTGGAGGCTTTTTACAGTTTACTAAAAAAATGTTTAAAAATTTGGTGCGTAGTTTAAAAAATGCTGTCTTTATATTATTTAATGTGTAGTTTTTTTCTTCTTTACTTTCATGATAATCTTTTGAGGTCAGAGGTACTCTCTTTCTCCGCTTCATGGTCTACTATTTTGCTTCAGGTATATAATCGATGTACCCAGAGCCTTTAGCCAGCTACATAGATTGAGGGGCTGGTTGCTATTTTATAGGAAGCCTTGCAAATTGACTCTTAGTTTGAAATTTTGATTCATTGGATTAGGCTCTCAAGAGAGGGATGTACTTCTATCTTTTATACATTTTATCAAAATAAGTTTTTTCGGTTGCACTTTGCTTTGATCAAGTGGTCTTACAGGCCCATCCAGCTACACTCTCACTTTAAGTGGACCTGTGGATGTGTGATGTTAATTACAAGGCTTAGTGTAGCGGTTCTCAACCTGTGGGTCGAGAACAATGAAAATACATCCTGCATATCAGATATTTACATTACGATTCATAACAGTAGCAAAATTATAGTTATGAAGTAGCAATGAAAATAATTTTATGGTTGGGGGTCACCACAACATGAGGAACTGTACTAAAGGGTCGAGGCATTAGGAAGGTTGAGAACCACTGCCAGTGAGTGCATCTCAGCACTCTGTTTTCAAAACAGTTTTGATTCACTTTTATTTTTTTTTTTTAAATATATTTTATTGATTTTTTACAGAGAGGAAGGGAGAGAGATAGATAGTCAGAAACATCGATAGGAGAGAAACATCGATCAGCTGCCTCCTGCACACCTCCCACTGGGGATGTGCCTGCAACCTGTATTAAAGGGTCGAGGCATTAGGAAGGTTGAGAACCACTGCCAGTGAGTGCATCTCAGCACTCTGTTTTCAAAACAGTTTTGATTCACTTTTAAACTGTATCATTTCTATTTCTCATTTGTCAGAAATTTCTTTAAAATATGCTATTTAAAAATATTATTATATTTCTAATTTATAAGCTTTGTTCTTATTTTTGCTTGTATGTAGCCTCACTTGGTTGTTCCTCTGTGCATGTCTGTGTTGTGATCTCTTCTTACAAGGACACCAGTCAGTCACAGTGGATTAGGGCTCACCCACCTAACCTCATTTTACCTTAATCACCTCTTTTTCCAAATACAGTCCCATTTTGAGTTACTGGTGTTAAGACTTCATATGAATTTAGGAGGGGGCCACAGACCAGACCATAACACCTGACACTCTGAGAGTTTCCCAGATGATGGGGCAGCACATCTTGGGTGAGGTATAGCTGCCACTCACAGCTGTCACCACTTAGGTGCTGGGGTTCCCCCTCATCCGATCAGTAGATCTCACACGTTTTATATAGCTTAAACATACCTGATTTAGCCCCAGGTGTGAAACTAACATCTGGCTTCCTTCCTTGTCCTGATAGGTCAGTGGAGTTCTGCTTGTTTCAAAACAAAACAAAACATCTCAGCATAGTAGTTGTTCTTTGTAATGGTACCCTGAGCTTGTATATTCCCTTGCTCTGCCTGCTTCACTCTCACTTTTCTTCCCTCTCACTCTTTTCTTGACTCCAGAGGATTTAGATTTCAGTTTGTATTTGAGTGGAGTCAGAGGTATGCCTGGGATTGGATAACCTGGGTAACCTGGAAGTGAAAAAAAGTAAGTTGTTCTTTTGTTGCGAAATGTTTTAACCCTAAATGGGAATTCACAGTTGAAATGTAAACTTCTTTTTGTGCTATTGTGTGAAGGCAGAAGCCCTTCCCTTTCTCTTGATGGAAACTCAATGTGGTTTATGTTGTACACATCGTATATGTTTTATGTTATACTTAGTCTATTGCCTTCCTTTAGAGCTGGTCTGGGTGTGAGCACAACGTGTTTCTAATGAGAGGTGTTTTCCACAGTGCCCTTGCTGCCAGTCCCGAGCCAACAGAGACCTGCGGTGGGACCCCAGAGATTCCCAGTGAGTAGCAGCTGCTCTGCTCCGAGACAATGAGCACACACTTACTAAGAAATATTAATATAGCAAATACAAGTGGGTCCAACTGAATATAAGTCTAAAGGTTTGTAAATATTGACCATAATTTTTGCAATGGAAAATGCTTATTAAAAGCTTAAGGTCAATGGATTTTTGAGAATGGGATTAATTTTGTCTAACTGTAAGATTGTTGAATCAGGATCATCAGTGGAATGCCTTTCATCTTAAAGAATATGAATTTTGATTTTATTTATTGCCCGATGTTAAATAAGGAAGGGCCTTGCTTTGTTATAATTTGTGCTAAGTGTATATGAGCACATGTGCATTTGTGTACATGTGGGTATGTATGTGACATTCTAGGGAATAAGGATGAGGTCTCTATAAAAACCTCGAAAGTCCTAATGACCATTGGTTTTATGTATATACTAGAGGCACAGTGCATGAAATTCGTAGCTTTGTCTGGAAGGATGTCCAGTCTAATTAGCATATTACGCTTTTAGTATTATAGATGTGTATATACATATATATTTATACACACACACGTATATGTACATTTTTTTTAATATGTTTTTACTGATTTCAGAGAGAGGGAGAGATAGATAGAAATATCAATGATGAGAGAGAATCATCGATCAGCTGCCTCCTGCACACCCTCTACTGGGGATCAAGCCTGCAACCCAGGCATGTGCCCTGACCCAGAATGGAACTATGACTTCCTGGTTCATAGGTCAATGCTCAACCACTGAGTCACACCAGCTTGGGATGGTTTTATATTTTAAAAGGAAGGTTTTGTCTTTAAAATATCTTTAAAAGAAAGCACACACACACTTTCCTGTACTTTCCATAACTCTTCATTCTTCCAACATGTCTTAACTAGAAGAAAAATGTCCATTAAAGAGTTGTATATGTTTAAGTAAATTTTGTATATTTGAGATTTTGATTCGATTTGTAGGTGGTTCATGGTTTTATTAAATCAGTGAGGACATGGTCTTTCTGAAAACAATGCTGGAAAAAATGGATCAGACCATAAAATTTTAATGTGATTTATATGTAAAACAAATGTTTTGCTTAGGCTAGAAACCTGATTTTCAGGAAATACCTATTTGACTTTAGCTTTGATATTTCAGTACATGTGTTTGTCGATGGCATTTAGCAAAAGGTTTTTATTTATTTTTTAAAAACAGATATTAATTTCAGAGAGGAAGGGGGAGAGGGAGAGGGCAAGAGGGCTAGAAACATCAATAATGAGAGAGAATCTTTGATCGGCTGCTCCTGCTGCGCGCCCTTCCCCCTTCCCCCCCCCCCCCCCCCCCAAATTGGGGATTGAGCTGGCAACCTGGCTATATGCCCTGGCAGGGAATCGAACCATGACCTTCTGGTTCATAGGTCGATGCTCAAACCATCGAGCCACACTGGTCAGGCTATCGAAAAGTTTTAATGAAGGATCTAGATGTACAATCAGGTGATTACTTAAAAATAAAGTCAGTATTGGATTTAAGGGTCAGAGTTTTTATTTTTTTAGAAAGTTCCTTGATTTGTAGTTATTATGAATTTCGATATGGTTTCTAAAACGGATTCTTACTGATTTTATTTTTTTATCTTTGCTAATTTTTCTTTAAATTACTTATTAAGTTTTAAAAACTAGTTATTTAAAAGTCAGGTGATACATAGTACAATTTCCTACTCAACGCGTTTGTCTAAATAGCTTAGGCTAATACTTGCATTACCCCAGGGTAAGCTTGCATGTGTTTATTCATTAGGTACACCTTTCCTGTGAGGTTGTTTAACTGCTTAGTTATTGTAAAGCACTAGCTTTTTGAGTTCTTTTTGCTGTTTCTTGGGATTGTGAGCATCTGTGTTAAAATTATTATTGGACTTATAAACTTTGCATTTTAGTGATACAATTTGACATGAAAAAGCAATTGTAGTCGGAGAAAAACAAAGTAATGTATGTAATCAATATTTTTGCAAAAATTAGTTTACTTATATAAAATTAGAATAATCATTTGTAGTTTTCATCCACTTGTACTTTCCAATTGGGCAAATGCTTGAGTACCAGAGATAACAAGAGAAGATGCTTTGTGAGGCAGTGAACTTCGTGTAAGTTACACGGTACTTTGAGGGTGCTGATCCTGTCAAGCTGCTTTGAGCTTGGATGACAGGAAATAGTTGCACTAGGACAATGTCATGTGGGTGATATAATTTGAGAAATGTTTTCTTCAGCTCAGTTATTTGCTGCTGTTTAACATGTATCTTTTTTAAAGGCGCACATGCTAGATCTTAAGCAGTGAACTTTGGTTCTTGAAAATGCAGAGCTCTGTTTATTTCTGTAATCAGTCTCCCGCAGAGAAAATAATCAGATGTGGAGTCTATTTTAAAAACATACAGTAAAGTATGTTTTTAAAATGTCCATCAAAATATTTTGGGACAGGAGGTTAATTCTAGGTCATCTTCTATTGTTTTACTTGTGCCAGATCTTTTTTAAGTAATATTATTTTTTCCTTTTGTACTACTAGGTTAAACTTGTTGCAATGAATGTAAATGTAGGTTTGTGAACTTTTAGTGAATTTCTTTTTCATGCCATGTGCTCTGCATAGTGCTAAAACGAACCCAGCCCCATTAAACGAACCCAGCCCCGTTAAAGGAAGCCCGATTCTCATCCTTAAGCCAGTGTTCACTTGAATGATATTATATAAATAGTGGAGACAGTGTTGTTGTGGATTCCACAGCCCCTGGGAGATGTCTTACTGATGGCCCTGTACCCTGTGGGCTCTGTCCTGGTGTTTTCCAATAGGGGACTTTGGTCAGCATTCACTAAACTGAATTTTGCTTTGTAAAATGAACACGGTCACTCACAAATAAATTGATAAAACGTTCAAGTTAGGAAGCCTAAGTTCAGATTCATCGTAGGATATGTTTGAATCAGCACACCTCTTGTTACATAGAAGGTGATATTACAGGAATCTGTGGAGCAAGAGCGAAGGTCACTGGGATCTTCTCTGTCCCCAGCTGTAGCCCTGCAGTGAGCTCCCATTGCTCCTGGGAGAGGTGATGTTCTTGTTGACAGCTTCCTGTTGCCAACTCGTTTCCTGAGCACCTGGTTTGTAGAGGAACTCTACATTTGTCCTGTGCCCGGTGGAGCCACCTGGGCTGGCACAGATGAATAGCTGTTAAGTAAGTGCACACAGGAAGTTAGTATTGAGTCATCGTGCTATTTATTAGAGACTCCATAAACGGAGTAGTGTAGAGCGGGTATATATTACCTATTTTTTTTGTTTTCAAGAATACAGATGTGAATTTGTGCATTTAACTCTATGGAGTTCAGCTCTAACCAACTGACTAACGAGTAGAAGAGGCAGACAGGAGACATAGGACTAGATTTCCACATGTGACAGGCACACAGTTGGGGTACAGTTGGTATTAATGCCATGGCTTTCCTTCTCTTCCCCAAAAGTTGAAACTTTACTTTCTTAAAAGCTCATTTTGTTTGACAATCTCATGAAAACTTGAGAACTTCTTAATTTAGAACTAGTATGCCTAGAAATTGTGCTAAGTGATAATGCCTCTTCTTTTTAAATTAAAAATCACCGAGATTGGCCAACCTAATATGAGACAGTGTTTTCAACCTAATGTGAGACACTGTCTTTGTGTCTGAAGTCTGTTTTCAGTTCTCAATGTTTTTTGTTCTACATATTAGTCTAATAGGTTTCACTTTCCACAAAGGCTCTTCCTGATGTTTTTGTTCTTAAATGTAAAGTCCTTTCCTTATGTACAAGTATGTTTTCCAGTTACATGTTTGTCCTCAAAGAGATGGTTGTTGTTTTTAAAGTCTACCTGCTTAAAAAGTAACATGAAAATTTCGATTAATGATACCTGAAAATGCAGCTTTGAGATTTTGCTAGTTGGTTTCAGTGTCAGTGCAACTGCTGCTTTTACGTACAGGAATCATTCCCAAGTCACTCACATTGTCAAGTTTCTTGACCTAGGACCGTGGTCAGCAAACTGCAGCTCGCGAGCCATATGCGGCTCTTTGGCCCCTTGAGTGTGGCTCTTCCACAAAATACCACGTGTGGGTGCGCACGTACAGTGCGATTGAAACTTCGTGGCCAGTGTGCAAAAGTCAGTATTTTGTGGAAGAGCCACACTCAAGGGGCCAAAGAGCCGCATGTGGCTCGTGAGCCGCAGTTTGCCGACCACTGAGTCCTAGGGTAGTGATGGTGAACCTATTTTTTGGTTGATTTTTCTTTGTTAAATGGCATTTAAATATATAAAATAAATATCAAAAACATAAATCTTTGTTTTACTATGGTTGCAAATATCAAAAAATTTCTATATGTGACACGGCACCAGAGTTAAGTTAGGGTTTTTCAAAATGCTGACACGCCGAGCTCAAAAGGTTTGCCATCACTGTCCTAGGGTATTCTAAAACCTATTCAGTCATTGCTTTCGCTTTGCTATATCAGGAAATGCTAGTATTTCAAGGGTAGCCACTTAAATACTAAGTAGTTTGGCTGCTAAATAATTTCTTAGTGATCTTTGTTTATTATTATTTTTAAATATGTTTTTGTTGATTTCAGAGAGAGAAGGGAGAGGTAGAGAGTGTTAGAAACATCTATGAATAGAGAGAATCATTGATTGGCTGCCTCCTGCACACCCCCTACTGGGAATTGAGCCAGCAATCTGAGTATGTGCCCTGACCGGGAATCGAATTGTGATCTCCTGGTTCATAGGTCAATGCTCAACCACTGAGCAACACCGCCCGGGTGTACTTTGTTTATTTTAAAACTAAAAGTTATGTTCGAAAAGACTTCACTTTTCAGTTTAAATTAATTTTCTTAGCAATTACATTACTACTTAGACCCAATAAATGAGATTTCCATTGGTGTTTCCTTTGTAGGCACAGTTCTCACAGGTAGGTCTGACTGCGTTCTGTATCCCTATGTGTGTGTGGTGGTGGTGTTTCGGGGGGGGGGGGGGTTGCATGG